GGGCAGCACAGCCGCAGCAACACAGACTTTGCCCTTTCAGAGGATCCATCAGAGGATTAGAGGAATCATTAGAGCGATCCATCAGTGACTTTCCTTTGTGATAGAATCTATGAAACTCTCCTTGAATAAAGGGAAAAAAGTTAAATAAGATTCTGAGCTCGATGGTAGCTTTTGGCAGATGGGGTGGTGGGTGAGGAGACACCTGTTAGAGGATATGCCAGCTTTATGGCTTCCCAGATGGCATCTGAGGCACAGAATGATACTGGCCTGGGTTCTCTTTCTTTTCTCATTTCACACACTTCTGAAACAATCTCGCCCACAAATCTACAAGCTGGTAACACAAAAATGTCCATTTCTGACAGTGAAGAACTCCCGTCTTTGAAGCGACAAATCCAGCTGCCTTCACTCCCTTTTACTTGGACTGCTTTGAAAGTACTTCCTCACAGAGCCAAACCTCGGCTCATCATTTTCTGTCTCGCCTCTTGCAGAACAGAGAATTTGGTGGGTTTTTGTCCTGGGTTCTGGGAGGTAACTTCTAAGCTACAGAAATAAAACATTTAGTTGTTCTTTGTCCTCAGCTCCTGGGAGGTAGCTTCTAAATTCTTAAAACTCTGAGTGATAAGTGTCTCTGTCATGCACATTAGGTTGTGTGGAGCACATCTGATAGATGTACTAACAACTGAAGCAGGATGGTCCTGCAGTCTAGTCTCTAAAAAAATACTCGGCATGTGGGCTGAAGACTTAATTCTCCACCCAGTAGCCCACGACTCAGTCAACTGTGCCTACGTAACTGACAGTAAACAACGGACCCCCGTAACACAGGTGAGCTTGCTGGACCATTAGTTCTCCACATATCATGGCAGACAGTGATGTGCCAGGAGTATAACAGCCGGACTCCACAAGGAAAGAACAACGGAAGCTTTGAGTGCAGCCTTTCCTCCCAGACTCTGCCCTATACATTGCTCCCTTTGGCTGGTTCCGGTTTATACCCTTTTGCTATAATGCATCTGCAATCTTAGCCCTTTCTGAGTTCTGGCAATTTCTCAAACCACAGGGACAGAAGACACATACACTTCTGAGTCCCTGACCTGTTACTCATTAAAACCATGATTCCTGTTTTCTTCTGAGACAGGGACTTAAAAGAACTTTTTTTGCTTTAAAAAAAAAAAATAAAAAAGGTGACCCTCACAGACATCTGGTAGGTCACTAAAAGGAGAACAAAGCTAGACCATCAGTATGTAAAACTCTGAGTCCAGTCCTTACCAACTCTGTATACAACCTTTTTAGTCATTTAGGGAGTGTCTATCTAAAAGTTGGCCAAACAAGTTTATTGGCCCAAATTTACCTAGCCTATGTCATCACCCTTCAATACTGAGGACATCAGGATATTTACAAGGACATTCGGCTATTCCCAGAGGTCTCTGGTCCCCTAAACCTAAAGTCAAACTAGATTCTAGCAAAGGCTCTCAAGACAGCGACTGCCTCAGAGACAGTTCTCACACAGAAACTAAATTACCCCACAGATCCTGAGGATTCCTCTGAAGCTGCGAAACCAGGAGCGAGAGGACTGATCACCCCCCAGCTCACTACAGTGCCCCATAAAACTAGCCTGCATTCTTTTGGGAATAGGCCAGTCTAATCCTCCTCATCAGTGTGCCCCCTCTAGCTATTTGTTAGAGTCATCCTCTCTCTATTTTCTCTTCTTTCTCTTTGCGGAGGGGCAGGCTTGATCTTTATCAGTTACCTAAGCTAAAGTCCTTATCCTTTTCTCTTATTTTCTAATTATTGCTTTTGCCTGTAAATCCATGCTGTTGCTTTAGTTTTAATTTCCATGCTAGCCAGTCACAAGTTGTTCCAGTGAACTGCTGAACCTGGGAACATCAGACTTTGCAGTCAACTGTTTAGAAGTGAGGGTTATCCAGGGAGCCCCAGACTTGAAAATAGCATTTGAAATGAAGGCAGTCATGTGGGAAATTGTACCCTCAAACTGGGAATTTTGGTATAACCCGGGGTAGTGGGATCAAAAGTCTTTGTGCCCTCCAGAACTGTTCCTGCTGTTAAATTCACTGCCATATGCCAGCAGTTCATGGGACAAAGCGGATGGTCACTGATCATTCGTCCCCGTCACTCACCTTCCACATAAACAGGATCAATGCATCTTTCCAAGTCTACTTCCTATAATGTTCTAACGTGTTCACTTCTCTTCAATTTCTTCTAGCATATGAGGATCTGTATGTTTCAGTCTTTCCCTCTCTTGTACCATTCTTTTCATTGCTCATAAAATTCTGGCCACATGTGCTTTCTCTTCCATTCTCAACTTGCCAAGTTCATTCACACATTAGAGGCTTTGGGTTCACTGTTCCTTCTGCTCTGACTTCACAGATCTTAGCTTGGCTGGCTCCTTCTTAGCATGTAGGCCTTGGTTTACATGGCTTGCCCTCAAAGTAGTCTGCTTTACCCTCCAATTCCAAGTGGCTTTCTAATGACTATGTCATTATCCTGTTTGACTTTTACCAAAACTTTGTTCTGTTTCTGATTTTTTTCCTTCTCATCAGAATAAAATTCCATTATCATATTCAGTGCCACATTCCCAGGGCTTAGAAGAGTATCTTGCACATGGAAAAGAATTATGCTTGAATAACTTAGTTGGATGTTCAGATCTTATTGCATCTACCGAGTTATTGTAGCAGTTTTCTCTGTCTTTAGCTTTGCCCTCCTCAAAGCCATTCCCCACAATACAGCCTGAGACATCTTTTTAAAAGACAAACATTGCCTCACTGAAGAGGAGTCTCTGTATTGTATTCACAGAGAGCTCTATCTCTGAGACATGTCGCACAGGCCCTTCACAATACGGCCTGTTTCCACTCCGAGTCCTTCCCTCTCCCTGTGTATTCTCCTGCACTGGTACTGATACTTCCAATGTCGCAGCTTCCCTTGCTCTTTGAATATCCAGTACATATCCATCTCCTATGACACGCACCTCTCCTCCCTAGTGTACCTCATTCTGCAGGCCTCAACCATGGCTTCCTCTGGAAAACTTCCCCTGATTACTCTCAATAGGGCCGGCTGCCCTCCTGTTACTCCCACAGTACTGTCTCACCCTATCACAGCACTGACTGACGTCCCAGAACTGTCTGAATACCTGTTTCCTTCTCTGCAGGATCCTTGAGAACATAGCGTGTTTTACTTAGTGGTACTGCTATCATGAACACAGTATCTGCTGGCATTCTGCTGGCCTGCTGCTTAATACATATTTTCTGAATTCATTTGTTATACTAGAAAATAAGCTGGCAAACTCAGAAGGCTTTGTTATTCTTTCCATATCCCCCAGGGAGTTTAATTCAATGTTACCCAAACAGGTGCTCAATAAATACTGGGTAAAAGTATAATGATCCTAATCCAGTGAAATGAAAAAAAAGAAAAAATTCAAGGATGTGGAGGTTTCTTGATGATGACATATCCCTATTTAAGGATACTAGAAAGGCTACTTATAAGCTTTAAATTAAAGAGCTAAACTTACAGTTTGTAATTAAGTTATATGATCGCTTTGGACACTTCTCCTTGCTACACTGTTACCAATATTTAATTTTAGCTAGAAGCCCACACTGGAATATTTCAGCCTTTATTCAAAAATATGTTAATAATAAATAAGCACACTGCTTAATTCCAGGGAATCTATTTATAAGTGCTCCATTGTAAGAAGAGATGAGTAAAAATTTTCTTGGCATAAAAACCCACCAAATGCTCCTGAAGAATAAGTTATTATTCTTTGTTACCATGATGATTTGTGTAAAGATATCTATGCAGATATGTGCTGTACTCATGAGGTAATATGTCAGCTTTTAAAAATAAGCATAATAGAAGCTATTTAGATTTGTTATTCAAAGTAGTCTCATTTGGGGACTCATTCTCATAACGGGACTGAACCTCAAAATGTTTTAGAAAACTCTCTTTGGGACTATAATCTAACTATTCTGAGAGGTTGATGGAAGAAGATCACAAGTTCAAGCCCAACCTGGATGATTTAGTGAGACTGTCACAAAGAAGGGAGGGAGGCAGGAAGAAAGGGAGGCAGGGAGGTGAGATGCAGGTCAGTGTGAAGGACCTGTGGTGTTTAACCTCTAGAACTGTACCTCTGCAGGCAGTTAATGATTAGAAGCCATGGATAATAAGATCAAAGATCTTGATATACTGGATCAAAAACATTGGCAATGTATAGGTTTTTTTCTGAAACCAGTGCCAAAATAAGTTCTAGAAATGTTGAGTAAAATAAGTAAATAAATAAATAACCAAATAAGTCACAGATCCTTCTGAAAACCAGATGAAAATTCTAACTCCTTTCTCCAAATAAAGTATGACTTCCTGAAAAGACCAATTGTAAACAGTACTAGAAGATAACAGTGTGTTGAAGTCCATCTGTGGACCCTGACTGAGACTCCGTGGGTGAGAACAATGGCCTTCAATTTTCTCTTTCTTTTTTCCTATTGTGACCAACAGAAACACAAAACAAAACAAAAAAACATTTCATTTTTTACTATGACTCAGTTTGCATACATATACATAATCAAAATGTTAAATTCACAAAACAATAGTATTCTCTCTCTCTTTTTTTTTTTTTCCGTACCAGGGATCGAACTCACGACCTCATGCTTGCCAGGCAGGCACTTATGTCACTGAGCTAAATTCCCAGTATTCTCTTTTTTTGATTTCATCAAGAAAAATGTTACTTATGACCTACAGCACCAATTTCATAATCTATATTTTGAAAAATTCTAGAGTAACTGCAGAAGAATTGAAGTCAATGAAAAGTTAATGAAAAATTGATTTAAAAAATTCTGATGTTATTTAAAATAATAAACACAAGCTTTTTTACTCTAGAGTCAAATCTTTCCAGAGATTATATTCTTTAAGGCAAGACTATGTTGTCTTGGTTCATCTACCTGGCTAATTATTGGAGATATCAATGAATACATCATACAATCATCATATAAACCCCATACCTTAATGTTAGAAAACCATAAGTCATTTTCATGTAAGGTCGCAAGGTAGACAGACGTAAGAAGTCCAATACCAAGGGCAGTGGTTCCACCAACTGTGAATGATAGAATCTTCCAAAATCTTCCATTGGTACAACCTTTGAGAAAGGGCAACATAAATGAGTGAAAATTTTAGAATTTCATACTTCTACTTCAGGCTATCAAGTAAGGGAGTATTCATTCCCTGTCCCCTAGCAGACAGCTTCTGTCTCTGTCTCTCTCTCATATACTGGGGATTGAACCCAGGACTCCACACTGAATTATATCCTCCAACTTTGTGTGTTTTTCTGAGTCATGGTCTTATAAAGTTGCTAAATTGCCTGATCTGGGCTCAGACTTGCAATCTTCCTGCCTTAGCCCCCAGGGTGCTGGAATTACAGGCATGTGCCACCAGGTCTGGCTTCTCTCTTACTTTTTCTGAAGACAGGATCTTGCTATGTGGCCTAGAACGGTCATGAATTCTTGGGCTCAAGCAATCCTCCTCTCTCAGCCTCTTGAGTATACAGGTAAGTACTACTATACCCACCTGGTTCTTAGCTATTAGTTTTGTTTTTGTGTTTTCCTTTTTTGAGGCAGGGTTTCACTATGCAGTTCAGGCTGGCATTGAACTCAGTGATCCTACCGCCTCAGCCTCCCAAGTGCTGGGGTTATAGACGAAAGGCAACACACCTGGCAACTCATTGCTTTTTACTGCAGTGTTCCTAATCTTTCATTTGTTCATTTTGTCAACCAGAATGTGAGCTCCTCAAGGACAAGTATATTGTCTTATTCACCTTTAATATCCAGGCATAACTGAGCAACTAGATTTTATGAAGTTTGCTAAATAGAGGAATAAATGGGTTATAAATCTAAGATGGGAACGATCTTTGAGATGACCTACTGGTAATTTGTGGTTTATTCATTAAAAGTTACCAAAACTTTGATTACTTAAAAAAATTCATAGGAAAAATACATAATAACTAAAATGATAAATAAGCTAGGAAAAGTATTTACAGCATAAATAAGAAAGCTTACATATTTTTAATATAGGATACTTTCAAGATAATAAATAATAAATGCTCCAGTAGAAAACAGATTAAGGACATAAACAGACAAGCACAAAAGAAAAATATGACCAATAAATGTAACCGAAGAAATGATGCTCAAATCCAATCAAATTCACTAGTGCAAAAAAATGCAAATTAAAACAATGAGCTGTAGTTTTAAAACCTTAGTCAACCTGATAGCTTAAAAATACTAGTATTCTATTTTAGAAAGGGTATTCAACATCTTTAAAACCTGGTGGTAGAAGAATAAATTGTGATCTCTCTGAAATGCAACCTGGCAACAGGAGTAAAAGCCACCAAAATGAGTATACCATTTGATTGTGAATTCTATGTCTAGGCATATAATCTAAAGAAATAATTAAAGTTTTAAATAAACATCTGCCACAAGGATATCTGTCACAGTTCTATTTGTTTTAGAAGGTTACAAAACCATTTTAGCATTCCACAAGGAGTGAATTAAATTATGCTACAGTCACACCATGTAATATTACATGTTAACAATGGAACAGGGACTTGGAGGCTAAGTCCACAGAGTCTCACAAGCATTGGCCTCTCTATCTTCCACTGACTTTTCTCCTTTATCACCTTAAAACTGTGGGTCAGACTCTTGCCCCTGTTTGCACAGAGGTATGCTAATCACTCAGGGAATGTATTACAAGGTCTATTAATCTTAAATTTACCCAGTCTATCTCATCCCCTTCAAGAGTAAGAGTAATTAAAGTAATTTTTAGGATTTTCAGGGACATTTAATTGTCAGCTGTTACAACATCCACTTCCAGACACCCTGGAGCAGTGTCTGCAAGCCTCAGTCACTGTCCTAAACTTGCAGCCACCTCAGATCCCAGTAGGAGCCTCTAGAGCTTCACAGACCACCCTAAAAGGAGGTCACAGCCTAAGCAGGAGCTGTCATCCCATGAGGGAAACTGAATTGCTTCTTATAGCAGTGGTGTCTCTCCCAGGACTTTAGAGAACCAGTTCTGAAAGACTATCAACGGGACCAGGACAGGACGAAGACAGCTTAAACTGTGAGCCAAGTCCTCCATTTCTGCAAACCCCTTGGCCTTGCTTTTGCCCCTTTTGTTCTATAAAACCCTCAAATCTCTGTCAGCCCCTCTAAGACAGATTTTGAGTCTCTGTCTGTACTACCTAGCTGATTAAGGCTCTTCCCTGCGTTTCATCACTGCGGATCTCCTTAAATGGCATTTTGGGAAGGGTTTCGAACCTGGTCTGTTGGGCACCCCAGAGTGGGCTATCAATATTTTTTATATCAACTGCCTTATGTTTACAGTATAAGAGAAAATCAGCAACATACCAGCCAACACATGGCTTTCAATTTCGTAACACTACATATGAATGCTGGTGGGGAGTACATGGGTTCAGAGAATGACACTGAAACAGCCAGATGCACAGTGTCATCTGTGTGAGTCTTAGGATGGATATTCAAGGGAGTGATTTTGCTTCTTTTTCAACTTTCTTTAGTTCTCAGGTTCTTTTCTGATATGATAAATATTGCTTTGGTAAAATGAATAAGCCCCAGTTATATTTTCATTTAAAAGAAATGAACTTGAATTGGCATTGTATTCAGAAAGTCCTATGCATTGTTTAAAATGTATTAGTTGCTAATAAAGACTTTATGAATAAAACCTCAATCACATAGGAATTATCACAAAGAATTAACAACTGGGATCTCACCTTATTAAAAATCTTTTGCACAGTCAGAGAAACCACAAACAGACTGAAGAGACAACCCATAACATGGGAAAAAGTTTGCCAGCTATTCCTCAGAAAAAGGATTACTATTCAGAACATAATGAAAAAAAAAAAATCAGACTTCCCAAACTGAAAGACTCAATCCAAAAATAGGCAGCTGAGATGAATATATACTTCTCAGATGAAGAAATACAAACAGCAAATAAACATGAAAAAATGTTCAACATCACTGGTCATTCAAGAGTTGCAAATGAAAAAAACACTGAGATTCCAACTCACTCCAGAAAGAATAGGTGTTATCAAAAAGTCAACCAATAGCAGATGCAGGAGGGGCTGTGGGGAAAAAGAAACCCTTCTCCACTGTTGGTGGGAGTGCAGCCTGGTGCATGCACTATGGAAATCAGTGTGGAGATTCCTCAAAAAATGAGAATTGGAAGTCCCATTTGACCCAGTTATTCCCCTTCTGGGTATCTTCCCAGAAGAATTAAAAACAATGTACCACAATATATATGCACATTGTTTATAGCAACAGTTTGTAATAGTTAGATCTTGGAAACAACCCAAATGCCTATTAACAGAGGAATGGATAAAAAAGATATGGTCTTTTAATAATGGAGTACTACTCAGCTATAAAGAAGGATAAACTAGACTTTTATAGGTAAACAGATGAATTTGAGATCATATTCATAAGTGAAATAAATCACTCACATTTGTAAATATTGTATTATGTCTCTAGTGTGGAGAAGCTAAAAAAGTAAATAAAATAAAAAATGTACAATAGATATTGTAAAATGGGAAGAAATTGTTTAAAAGGAAAGAGAAATGAGACTAGGGGAAAGGAGAAAAAAATCGAAAAGCAAAAACGTATACATACATAAGATAGTTACACTACTAAGTGCTTAATTCTTTGAAAAGGTTTGTTCTAATATTGCTTGAACAATTAAATGCCTATATGTTGCACTCTAAGTAACTAATTTAAAGATAACAATACACAATGTATTAATCATTGTTACTCTCCTATTATCTTAAATTTTACTTATCTTTAAAATAAAAAAATGTATAGTTGCTAATAGCTGATCTGAGTGGCATAACCTCCCAAAACACATTTTTTATTTTATTAAACTGTATCCTCAAGTTACTTTATTAGTTACGGCTGGTAATAATTAGAATGTCTGAAAAGACCATAAATTCTATCAGATATTCAAAATGGCTGATAAGCACGGAATCTTTCCTGCTTACTTTTAAGAACCTGACCATATTTAGTTAAGACAGCAATCCAGAAAGCACAAAGCTGGCAATTAATACCATCTGATGTGTCACTTAACAAGTCTTTAGTATTATATAAACTTTACCAAGTTCTAACAATTTTTCTTGTCCCATCCCCATAAAAATGCAAAGCAAAATATCTGAGATTTGACTGAAAATAAATGGCAATTCATCTTTATTTAGTAAAATGGAAACTGAAAGGCTGCTTAGTTATTAAAACATATAAACCAGAAAAATTAGACTAAAATATGAATGGTGAAGAAAAGTATTACTCTAGAGAGTGAGAGCATCAGATTGGCATAACCCTAAATTAACGAACAAAAAACTAATACAGGGTACTAGTCAAAGCTCTTTTATCAATTAAAACTGTGAAACCAAAACAATCCAATTGTGATCAGACTATCAGGGTGCTGGACCAAGTTTCCTCAACTGTTAAGCTTTATATAATTTCTACCTTATGGGAGAGTGATATTTTATTATGCAGAAATAAAAGCAATTTCAAATGCTGCTTCAGGTTAAATCACCTACCAGATGGTAATTTATTTTCTAACTTCCCATTTTCTTCTTGTGCAGGTAAGTCATCGACAACCTCAGTGGTTTTTACCTCTTTTCTTTGCCGTATGTACATCATGGTGTCAAAGACTCACAAGCATTGTTCATTCAACCACTCCTACAAACAGAAATACAGTAAATGGCCCATGGATACCTCAGCATCCTCCCCACAAACACCCTCTGCTCATTTGTGTTTAAGTGACTTTTAATTTTGGTTGTTGTCTGCTGCTTAGCACCCCCTCTCATTTTCCCATCCAACATACTTTGTTGCATCAAAGTATATTCAAGATGCAACACAAACGTTTAACTCAATCATACTTTTTTTGATGTTCTCCAGCAGATACTGCCAGGTAGCTGAGCTGAACACAGGAACCCTTATCCTTTTTCACGGAAGCTGTCTAGGATGCTCCAACCCCTGTTGATTTTGATCATCTCCTCTCATAAGCCATAGCACTTATCGTGCAATTTGCCAAGTAATTACAGTTTTATATTATTTTCTACGGTTCCCTATGCAGTAACAAGTCTTCTCTATCATCCAGGGAACTGACCACGTGGGAGGGAATTCAGTAGTATATTTGTTGACAGATTTTGAAAAACTGAAACACTGTTCTCCTTCAGGTATCTGAATTTTAACACCTGTGTTCTTTTAAGCAATTCACATTGCAGGTTTTATGCTTGGGTGGTAATGACAGCAGGGGAATGTGCCAATCAGGGCAGCTCTTATCCCAGGGAGTAATAGTGGGAGTAGCTGCAGGGTGCAGTGCCTAGTTTGGAAGCTGCAAGTGGGAGGCGGGGGTGTGGTGGCAGTGAGTAAGCTAATTCTGTCCCCCAGCACATCTTGCCTCTCTCCTTTGAACAGAGTAGCGTTCTACTAATTATTAAATATGATCAGTAGCCTGGCATGATTGTTTCAACAGTTTACTAATCCCTAAACAATATGCCCTGTAGAACAGAACAACCAACTTACATGATACAATCTGTTTATTCATTCACTCACTGAAAGAACTGTGAAAAGGAAGACTTGAAGGCGGAGAAGAAATTTAAATCCTGTGCTTTCAAAGCACGGGAGACGGAGAGGCTCTAGCAGTGAAGGAGAAAAGGAATGTTAGCACAGTGGCCCAGCCAGCGATGAGCTTATCCCCAAAAGGCTTAATAATCGTAGAGCCGTGCCCGCTCTAAGGGGAAAAAGAGCTTTAAAAAAACCCACAATGCATAAATTCTAACATGTTAAAACAGAAGTCAGCAAATATTAGAAGTGCAAATTATGTATCTGGACTACGGCAGTAGTCTCACGAACTTTGAAACAAAAGTTCCTTCGGCGAATAGACAGGAATACCAGCAGACTATATGCAAAGGGACCTGCAAGCGATCGTTTATTAACGAGGCTGCCTAGTACAGTACTGCGCATCCCCCGGGCGCGGCAGAGCACCGAGCTCCGCTTACCTGCGCCGCGCACCCTCCAGCCCGCGCAGCCCCATCAGGCGGGCGCCGTCGGAGAGACGGCAGGCGGGGGAGTTCGGACCTTCGTGCACCAGGACCGCGAGTGACGAACCCCAAGGTCCGAGCCCACGCCCTCCCTCCGCCCGCGCGGCCGGCTGCGGAGAGAGCGCTCCGCAAAGTTGCCCAAAACCGAGTTCCAGCCCGGCCCGCATCCCGCGCGCTCCATCCCCTCCGGATGCTGCGAGGGCCGCGGCCGCGCCTCCCGACAGGGCGACACGACGGGGCGGGGCGGAGCGGCCGAGGAGCGGTCGGCGGCCGCCTCTAGGCGGGACGCAGCCGGCGTCCGCGGGATCTCAGGGACCCGCCGCCCGCGTTTCCCTCGCTGCCCGACACGCAGCCACAGACCTGCGGCCTCAGCAGTCCTCGCGCACGGCTCCTAGGGGGAAAAGGCCAGCGGGGCGAGGCGGCGCTGAGGGCCGCGGGGGCGGGGCCGCACACGGTCCGCAGCGCGCGGCAGGGAAAGGCAGGACCAGGCAGCGGCAGAGCTTTGTGCAACACCTTGCGATGGGGGGCTTAGGGGGCGTCTACAGCCCCGCGAAGGGGCGCGCCGAGGAGGCCGGGCGGCCGCAGCTGCATCCATAGGTTCACGGAGCTGTCTGTCAACGTGAGCCTCCGCCCCTTTCCGCGCCGCCCCGCCCCGTCTCGTGCGGCACCGGGCGGAAGGAAGTGGTACACTTCCGGTCTTGGGGCCCGCCAGGATTACTGGCTGCCTTAGAGCCTCAGGTTGCAGAGTTCGTCTTCAGCTACCTAGTGGCCGTTTCTGTAGCCCCAGGCCGGGACGAGTGTTGTGGTTCGGGGAGGAGCGGCCCGGCATCTCAGAGGAAGAGTCTTTCCAGGTCAGACGGTCGGGAACAGCGGCTTCACCTTGGCTCTGGGCTTGAGAGCCTTGCGTGCCTGGGGGCTCCTGAAGGCCTGCGGCTTCGGAGTGCGCTGTTAGTTTAAAAACAACCCATCAGGCGTGGCGGCTCACCCCTGTAATCGCAGCACTTGGGAGTCAAAGGTAGTAAGTTGGATTTCCACGAGTTCGAGCCCAGTCTGACTATATAGTGAGTTCACAACCAGCCAGGGCTACACAGCGAGACCCGCATCTAAAAAACCTAACAACTTTTCTCCTCCTGCCAATACTCGCCTGTGCTTCCAGTGCTCCTGTGCTGCCGGATGTGAAAGGTTTGGAAGGGAAAGTTATGAAGGTCCGAGCGGCTGGACAAGACCCTAGCTTGAGAGGCTGGGGCTCCCCCTTCCCTGGTCTTGACATCATCTCCCTTCCCACAAACCCTGGTTTCCACTGCTGTGGTTAGATGGATTGGCACTTCTGCATCTGCAGACACCTTCTTGTGTTGGTGCCCTCGGCACTGTTTTGTCAGCTTTTTTCCTCTAAAATATGCTTTCGTGTTGAATCTCCTGTTATTCCATCTTCACACTAGACTGTAAACCTTTAAAAATTTTTATTTAGAGACTAAACAAAACAAAAAACGGTTAGAAATAATACATACTTTCAAAGAAAAAAGTAAACTAAGAAATTACTAGTTGATGATTACAGATTGTCCTCTTACAGATATTCAAGATACAAAAGTGGAAAATATAAAGTGAGAATTCAAACAGTGAGACTGCCAACAGTTCTGTTCAACTATTCAACAAAAACTTAATGTGGTTTATCAATCCTATACACTTACACATGCAGTCATCCATGTCTTCATTTATATTGAGATTAAACAAACTCAAGCAGGCTAAAATCACCCTGAACAAAGAATAATAGTATTGCTGGGTTTCACATCATGACACTCTGGGATCAGCACTGGGTACTGTAGTGTCTTTCTCCCTTCAAAGTATTTGTTCATTTCATCATGTAAGATCAGTTCTCATAAACTGTTTATAGGTTCTACGTATGTGTGAGTCTTAACATGTATTTCTGTCTTTTCTATATTAGAGGGAGAAACTGTAAAAAAGGTTTACAAAGCTGTAAAAAGGTTTACAAAGCTGTAAAACTTTTTTGAGGGTATATATTGTGCTTTATACCTAATCGTCTTTTTTTTTTTTTTTTGGTCTTTTTTGAGACGGGGTCTCGCTAGGCATTTCAGACTGACCTTGAGCTCACTTTGTAGCCCAGGCTGGTCTTGGAACTGGAAAGGATCCTCCCACCTCAGCCTCTCAAGTGCTGGGATTACAGGCGTGAGCCACCACGCCAGGCTCCTAGCTGTCTTTCTTAACACACTGATAAACAGATTAAAACTTTTTACTTGACAGCACATAATTACATGTTAAATACATTATACATGTAATGTACATTATATATGCTATGTATACATTTTGTATTATGTAATAGTACAAATATATCTGTAACACACATAAGCTATACATTGTTATATTACACTGAAAAGTATATATAAATGTAATATATGCTATATAGTATAAATTTTATATGTGTTGTACACACAATATTATTTATAATACCTGTGAAAAGGCAGTTCATCCATGTATTTCCAACAAGAAATTATTTCGTCTAGGAAGCTTTTCCTAGTCACTCTTGCCTGCTGATATTTTTCTTCTTTGTGTGTTCATCTCTATTAATAACAAGCACATTCTGTGCGACTAGACTGAGGTATCTGCTGGATTAGCTTTACTACCAGTGCCAGCTGTTTTTTTAGGTGGTATTCACCGTGTTTCATCGTGGTTGTTGGTGTCTCTTCTAATGTGGACTTAAAGATGCCTCGTATTTAACATATTTGCGTACTTAATAAATACATGTGTAAATTTATTCTTCAAGTAGAATTTTCCTCTCTTATTGGATAGGGCTTTTGTGCTTATATTGTCTCATTGGAGAAAAACGTGACTGTAGTGAAACATGCATCCCTTGAGTAAAAGAAATAGTACTCATCAGCTGCTCTTTGGTTTAATATTATGAAATGGCTTTACTAAGCAAGATAAAACTTTGGTACTTTGTCAGAAGGACGCACTCACTGCTGAAAGCCCTGGGAATGAATAAACTAATTAAGGTCTGAAAACAGTGGCCCTAGGGGTAGTGGATAATAAGTACATGTCGTGGCCTCCTGGCCATGTAAGAATGCTGTCAGGGAGAGACTGACTCTAAAGCTCTGGTAATGGACAGGACGGCACCGGAAAACTTTCTGTCTGCTATGTATTTGGAAGCCCAAATGGACTCCCTGGCTGTTTCTCTGCTGGAGTAAGCAGTGGTTGAGCTGTGGAACTTAAAAGTATGGTCTGGTGACCTGGTCCAGAACTAGCACCATCCTCTGGGAGTTTGTGAGAAATGCACATGATCAAGTCTTATCTAGACCTACTGAAGTAGAATCTGTATGGGTGCCAGCACATTCATCTGCTTGAAGATCTCCAGGTGATATTTATTTGAGAACTACTGTAGAACCAAATGTGGCCTGCAGATGTAGTCACATAGGCATCACATGGGACCTTAGAAAGCCGCACACTCAGGTTCTAAACAAGACCTGTATAATACAGGCCGAAACTGCAACTTAATATGATCCCTAGCTGATTGGATACACATCATGCTTTAATGAGCAGTGCTCCAGAAGACATTAATGCCATTCATCACATCCATCCTATAGAAGTAAGTGTCTTGCCTTGGCACCATGGGTGAGAGCTCTCTTGCTAGCTTTTTTTTCCTGATCTTTCTCTCACAGGCATTTCTTCATTTACCTTTCTGGCATTCATTTTTCAGTCTCTTGCAGCTCCTCCTCTTAAAAAATCAGTGCTTATTTATTCCTTTACTCATGGCTTCTGTTTTCACTGGTACTCTGTTTAAGTCATAAGATTTTATATCCAAACACAGATCCTGACCCCTGGGTCTCATACCCATTGGACATTTCTATGTTTGCAAACACTTCAGACTCAATTGGTTAAAAATTCAGATTTTTTCCAGGCAGTGTGGTACATACCTGTAATCCCAGCACTCAGGAGGCCGAGGCAGAAAGATGCCACAAGTTCAAGACCAGCCTGCACTACATAATGAGATCCTATCTCAAAAATAAATAAATATTTAAAAGTTAAGCTTTTTGAAGAATCCCCAAGACCAACTCTGTTCTTCCTTTTATATGTCTTATTTACTTAATTGCTCAAGTAAAAAGTGTTGGAACCAATTTTGTTTCCTCCCTGCTGTGTACTCCATACAGCCAATCAAACACAGTCCTGCTGGCTTTATCTCCTAAGTATCTCAGTACTTGTTTACTTTCTCTCTTATGACTACCCAAGTTATCATTTCTTATCTAGATCATTTTGGTAATCTGCTTTCCTTACCTACATTCCTATTCCCTGTTCTTGTTCCTTCAACCCATCCTTTGTGTAACGAATAGTCATACCAAAATGTACAGTGGTGCCTTGGTTCACGAACTTAATTCTTTCCACAATTCTGGTCATGAACTGAAGTTGTCAAGAACCGAAACAAATTGAGTGGTTAGGATAAATGTTGACCTTAGGGGAAATTTGATTTTGTTCTTGTCATATTCAATTTGTGACCAGATTGTGAAAAGAATTAAGTTCATGGATCAAGTATATCCTTTGGTGGCTTAACAGTTTTATTATTAAGCTTTTTTTTTTTTTTTTGATGGTTGTGAAGCTTTAATCCCACTGTGAACACACACTATGGAAGCTACAGCAAGATGTTGAGGGGAAGGTATGGGGCTCACACTGTACAAGTTGGGGATTTCTGTCCATTAGGAACCAGAGACAGTGCTCACCGTGAGGCCTGGTTGGTGAAGTGGTCCCAAGCAGAGGGAAACTCTGGAGGGGCACTCCTGGGTTCTGGCCGGAGCAGCTGCCCTGTCTCCAGGAAGGTCTGGTGCAAGTAAGGTTGAGTTTGTTGCCTTAGAAGCATCAGCAGGGATAGAAAGGCAAGTTGACTTGGGGATGGAGCGTAAGTTTGAACTTTCACTTCAAAACTAGTTTGGATTCATGGTCAGTTCAGACACCTGTGTGTCCATTTGCAGTGAATGTCCATCCTCCCAGAGAGCTGTGGACCTGGCCCCTCATAGACACATCCAGAGACAGGCTGTCTCCTGCATGCAGCTGACAGGTGCAGGACATAGGGAGCAGACTCGAGGGTTGGTGGGAGAGAGTGAGCCCTGTCCCACCTGTCTGGACTCTGAGACAGTGGCCCTATTTGGTGTTACAAGGTGGGGAGGAGATGCACCATACTCACCTCATGGCTGTCACATTGGGGGACCTAGTGGGGAGACACAGGTCTTGGAGTGGACTGCAGAGGGGGCGCTGGTACCAGCAGTACCTGCAGAGGGGCAGAGCAGATACAGAGTGTGGTAGAGGTCTTTGCCCCGGCCCCATGTGTGGCTGGGTGGTGGAGCACCCTGTGGGCTACATCAGGCCCACTCTGGCTCCCGAGTGATGACACAGGACCTATGGGGATTGGGGCATTTGTGAGACTGGATCTATGGACAGAAGGTTCTAGAAGGCCCAAGCTGTGCTTGCTTCATCCTGAGGAGTAACATTGTGGCCATGTTGTCCCTGTTGAGGCATGGGCAGCA